TGGCTAGAAATGCTGGGAACTACAAACTACAACATTTCCTAAGCCTCAGTAAAATTTCAAAGCAGTGTAACTCGGTTAATTTTTGCTCGTTTTCAGTGATTTTTGGCTAGAAATTTCTGGCATTTATTTCTTTTGCATAAAACCGCCTGCGGGGAAGTGTCCCTTTCATGTCTAGCAAGAATAGCAGAAAAGTTGAAGACGACCTTATAATCCGAATACAAGTTAATAAAATAAAAAACAAAAAAAACCCTGACTCTTCTATTAAAACCCTGACTCAAAAAATAAAACCCTGACTCTTCTATTAAAACCCTGACTCAAAAAATAAAACCCTGACTCTTCTATTTCCGGGCGGGGAAATCCTGAAAAATGATGATGCGGTATGCACAGAAATAGGTCAGGAACCCTGATTGAGGTTTTTGGTACTCATTCAGGGACCAAAAACAAAAATTTTGACAAAAAATCAGCAAAAACGGGTGAAAATGAGCTAAGTTGAGAATGAGCCAGCGATTTGAAATTTTACTGAGGCCTAGGACTTTTTGTAGTTTGTAGTGACACCAGGAACGAAAACTAAATGATTTTTTTGCTTATTTTCTTAGTTCGAGATGTGTTTATGAGTTTTTTCTCCGACCAAAGATGACTTTTCAAAAAAGAAAACTTCCGTTTTTTGCACAAAAAAAATCTGAAAAATGTCTGAAAATATTTTGCAGCTCAAAATTTCCAGATTTGTCTGAAAATTTCAGAATATATGAAACATGACTAGAGCTTCATTTTTGTAGTTGACATTTTTTTTTTTAAATCAAGTCCTGGGGAGATATACCAATTTTTCCAAAATGTCAAAATTTTGCGATTTTTGACTGTTTGAAAATATATTCGAAGTTGTTGGATTTGTCTGAAAATTTCAGTATATACTAATCAAATTACGGGCTTCATTTTTGTAGTTGACAACTTTTCCTAAAAACCAAGTCCTGGGGAGATATGCCACGTGGAATAGTCCCTTTTTGGGCGAGCCAACCTGCCAGGGGGAGGGGGAAGAGGGGCGCTTCCACGGGGCATATCTCGCCAGGACCAAATTTTTTGAAAAAAGTGTCAACTACAAAAATGAAGCTCTAGTTTTGTTGAGTCTACTATAAAAATTTCAGACAAATACTAAAAATTTGAGCCAGTGTCTCAGACAGTCAAAATTTGTCATTTTTCACCGAAATTGCAATTTTTAGGCTTATTTTAGCAATATTAGGATATCCTCCAGAACCTAACTTTTGAGGAAAGTTGTCAACTACTAAATTGAAGCACTAACTTTGTTTGGTGTACTTTGAAAATTTCGGATAAATCCTAATAATTTGAGCCAGTGTCTCAGACAGTCGAAAATTGCCCTTCATTTTTCACTGAAATTTCTAAATTTTGGCTGCTTGATTCAAGAAAATAGGCATATCTCCGCAGGACTTGATTTTCCAAAAAAGTTGTCAACTACAAATATGAAGCTCTAGTTTTGTTTAGTATACTCTGAAAATTTCAAAAAGCCCAGACTATTTTGACCTACTTTTGTAGAGCGTCTAACTTTTTTCATGGAATTTCAGGATCATAGCTCTAAGGGACATTTCTGAACTTTTATTTTTCCAGTTTTTTCTCAGATCCCATATTAAAAATTTATGATCTACATATTCTACCCAGGAGATTACCCATCCCCGCAAACAACTTTTAAGAATTCTCTATCTGCGATTCTCGAATTTTTCCAAAAAAAAAAATTTCTATGTCTTTAAAGGTGGGGCGACAGGAAATTTTACTGGGGATTTTTGTAGCTAGAGTATGCATTCTACCGTGACGGTGTACAACGCTTAATGTCACTCTGCGTACAGCTGTCGTCCTCGTCTTTATGTATGCAATCGGGCGTGCGCTTTCTCTTTGCCCGCGTGGCTCAGTCGGTAGCGGCGCCGCACCCTCAATCATCGCCCTCACAAGTTCAACTCCTCGAGGGGCATCTTTGAACGGAATTTCGAGAACATTATTTTTTCATGTCCCCCCACCTTTAAAATTCCAACGTATCCCTTTCCGATCTCTACTACTACTACTCATTCCAATTAATAATTTATATCAAAATTCGTTTTTTTCTTCTTTATTTTTTTAAAAAACACCACCCCCCACTAATGGGTGGTTGTGTTTTGTGATTAAAATTTCAAAAGGAGAAACCGACCAAGTAAGGGAACGCGCTTATTTTTTTTTTTTGAAAAAGATGAAAAGATGACTCTTAAATGTTTTTTTAGGAGGATGAGGGATATTTAGGAAAACACAACTTTAAAGGTACAGGGGGACATTTTAAACTGGGAATTTTTCGAAAAAAAAGGCTAAAATTTAGAAATTTCTGCGAATAATCACAGTTTTTGACTGCCTGAAACACTAGCTCAAATTTCTTGGAATTATCTGAATTTCTCAGATTATACTAAAAAAGACACGAGCTTCATTTTTATAGTTGACAACTTTTTCTGAAATTCAATTCCTGGAGAGATAAGTCACGCGGAAGCGGCTACCCCTCGCTGGTGGGCGTTGGTGGGCGCGCCTCCAGGTATGCTCTCTTCCACGTGGCATATCTCCCCAGGACTGGATTTTTAGGAAAAGTTGTCAACTACAAAAATGAAGCTCAAGTTTTGTTTGGTGTTTTCTCAAATTTCGGAATTCAGTACTAGTCCATAAGATATACAAAAACCTATTTTTCATTGATTTTCGGGCATTTTGTCTAATATTTAACGAATTTGATTTAGTTTTAGGGTTCTAGTTTTATTCAAATTTGTATTACAACTGTTTCCAATTAAAAACAGGTAAATTTTCCTTCAATTCCGTCTACAAATCACGTTTCTAGCACATCTAGGAACCGAGATACAGCGATTTGAAGTTTCCAAGGTTAGAGACGCAGACGACGAGACACACTGCGTCTCTAACCTCCCAAACTTCAAAAGGCAGTATCTCGGCTCTCCGTGCTTCGATTTAGTGGGTTTTTGGCTCACAATTTTATTAACATTTTCAAAGTTTTTGTCAAAATCAAAAAGGGCGCACCTTGGAGCCAACCTACTGATGGAGAGGTGTGACGCGCTTCCATGTGGCATATCTCCCCAGGACTGGATTTTCAGAAAAAGTTGTCAACTACAAAAATGAAGCTTAAGTTTTGTTTAGTGTATTCTAGAAAATTTCAGATAAATCGAAAAATTTTGAGCTAGTGTTTCAGACAGCCAAAAATTGACATTATTCACCGAAATTTCAAAATTTTAAACTTGTTTTAAAGGTGGTGTGCGGTGAGAAATTTTATTGCTTTATTTTGTGTAGAATTCAATGTAAATTCACATAAAAATAAAGAAAAAATTCGAAAAAAAATCCTTCATTGAGAAAAACGGCATCGAAAAGTCAAAGTGGGAACCGGTGGCCTAGCGGCCAGGTGTGAGTTTTCCAGGCCAACTGCCGGTAAAAGCGCGCGTAATTCGAATTTTTATCGATTTTCAGTGCTTTCTGTGATGTTTTTAGAAGATTTCAAAATGTTTTTGTTAATTTAATCCCAGGTGTATGAAAAAACCTGACAAAAATCAGAGAAAACACTGAAAATCAATAAAAATTCTAATTACGCGCGCTTTTACCGGCAGTTGGCCTGGAAAACTCACACCTGGCCGCTAGGCCACCGGTTCCCACTTTGACTTTTCGATGCCGTTTTTCTCAATGAAGGATTTTTTTTTTCGAATTTTTTCTTTATTTTTATGTGAATCTACATTGAATTCTACACAAAATAAAGCAATAAAATTTCTCACCGCACACCACCTTTAAGAAATTCGGCATATCTCATTTTTTGCTCTTTATTGATAGTTTTGAATTTTTCTGCTAGCTCTCTTCCAGGACCTCTCTGAAAAAAGAGGAGACATGTGTTGTGTGAGAAAAATACATGTTTATGTGTGTCTACAACAAGTCTGTTGGCACTTTGTAATTGGAAAATTTCGTTTGACGCACTTCTTCTTCTTCTTCTTCTTCTACAAACTCTTCTTCGTTTTTCATCCGCGTCATCGGATTCACCGTCATGGAAAAACGACACAGCATTTTTGGGACACACAACGGTTTTGTGGGACAGATAGAGAAAAAAAAAAACAAAAGCAAGGCCAGAAGTTTTGGGACCAAAGAAAACTGGGGATTATGGGGGAGGGAGGAAAGTGATTGATGAGCTTAACAGAGATTAGAATAGGGACAAGCTTCGAAAAAGGGAAAAATTAAACGTTTAGTTTGGGGGACAGAATAAATTACCGTATCCCTACTTCCATTTTTTTTTTCAATTAACATTGCTTTCCAATGAGATACCGTAACCACTCTAATATAACCCCCCCCCCACCCCCCCATCACCCTTTGCTGTCTTTGAGCTCATATATCTCATTCTCTATAAAAGATATCAAAAATTTTTCAATTGATAAAATATTGCTGATGTGATGATAAACATTTTGTTAGTTGACAACTTTGTGACATCTTTTACAGTAACCGAGATAAATGTGCTCAAAGGGAAACTCTAATAGAATGCCTACCAGGCCCTTCTTAAGCCGTCAACTTTAAGCCATTATATCTCGCTCCCTGTAAGAGATATCAAAAAAGAGTCAACTGATAAAATATTGCTAATATAATGATAACCATTTTATCAGTTTGTCACTTTTTGATACCTCTCATTGTAACCGAGATAAATGAGCTCAAAGTTGAAAGTCATTTTGGCAGAGTGATTACGGAAGACTGATATTCCTCCAATTTATCTCATTTCCTGTGTAAGATATCGAAACGTTGTCAACTGATAAAATATAGGAAATTCAAAGTTACACACTTTACCGTTTTTCTGATTGAGGTCTCAAATTTGGAACTTTAAGTTTCCAGAAGTTTCTATTGTCACATTTTTAGATTCTTTCTAAATGATCTTCAAACTAAACTAACCTAATTCTAAGACCATTTTTTGTCTTAAACCCAAATTTCCACATATCCAACCATCAAAATTCCAGATGTCCTGCCCATCTGAAAGTGCATCAGCCTTCCGACTGCGTCCCGTTGGCTCCCTATTCTTTCTGAATCGACCACACGAGAAACGCGCATTCGATTCGTTAGCTGGAAGTGGATTTGGAGCATTTAACAAAAGAGCATTCGATACAATGGCCGGGTCTGGATTCAGTGGATTCGATAAACGAGCGTTCGATTCGTTGGTGGATCTGGATTTGGCGCTTTCAATAAGAGAGCGTTTGATTCGTTGGTGAGTTGAGGATGCAAGTAGAAAAGAAAGTTAAACTAGTGTAAAGTTCTATACTGATTCGATTGGTGTTAGTTAGAAGGCGCTAGGTTGAAAATGGACCAAGTTATAAGCATTTTACTAGATAAGGCGCGCGCGACGCGCGACGCACCAAAAAAATGTTTAAACTCGTTTCAAAGCCCTTTTCAAGGCAAATCCAATAGTCAACTTTTTATTAAAATTGGATGAAAACTAACCGAGTTACAGTAGTTTGAAGTTCAGGTGCACGCGACGCACAACCGCGACGCACCCAAAAAAATAAAGTTAACCGAACCGAGCCGTGTTTAAGCTCATTTTGAAGCTCTTTTTAAGACAAATCTAGCATATAATTTGCGTAGAGTAATACCCAAAACTGACCGAGTTAAAATAGGTCTACATGTTCAGACGCACGCGACGCACGACCGCGACGCACACAAAATGAGGCCTAAAACATTTTAGCTAATTATTGACATTTTCAGGCCGGTAGTGGATTCGGTGCATTCAACAAACGAGCATTCGACTCTCTGGCCGGCTCCGGATTCAGTGGATTCGACAAACGGGCGTTCGATTCGCTGGCAGGACAGGGATTCACCGGATTCGAGAAACGCGCTTTTGATACAGTGGTTAGCAATTTTTTGCAGTTTTTCTTTTCGAAAAAAGCGGGGACATCGCTAAATTTTGAGCTAAAAATCATCTAAATCCGTTGAAAATGAGCCGAATTGCAGCGTTTTGAAATTTTACTGAGGCTTAGAAACTGTTGTAGTTTGTAGTCTAAGCCTCAGTAAAATTTCAAATCATTGTAACTCGGCTCATTTTCAACAGTTTTCAATTATTTTTGGTTTTAAACTTGTGGATTTTTTCGTAGTTTGTAGTCACTAAGTTTAATGATGCTGGGTTTACTGACTTTTACTGAGGCTCAGAGATTCTTATAGTTTGTAGTTTGAAAATGATGAAATTTTCTCGAGTTTCTAGCCAAAAATCATCGAAAACGGTTGGAAATGAGGCAAGTTACAGTGATTTAAAGTTTTACTGAGGCTAAGACTACAAACTACAAAAATTGATTAGCCTCAGTAAAACTTCAAATCGCCGTATCTCGGCTCATTTTCAACCGTTTTTAATGATTATTGGCTTAAACTTTCCTAAACTTTTTGAATTTTTAAAAAATCGTTATTCTCAGAGCACTTCTGGCTTCGACGACTTCAAATTGTAAACGCTCTAAATCTTCAAACTTCGATCACATATTTCTTCTCTAATTGAGGTAATTTTGGCAAATTGAAAAGAAAATTCAATTTTATTTTTATTTTTCAGGTAGCCTCCCCCTTCTCATCTCCGACGACTGCAACAAACCTCACACAATTTTTATAATTTGTTTTTCTGCTTAAATATTTTCCTCACCCGTCCCAATTTTTAAAACTACTGTATGTCCCTTTAAAAAAACACAAAAGTACCGGTGTGCGTGTGAGAGAAACCCCTAATAATAAATCATGTCGTCCTGTTTTTATTGATTTTTTGACCTAAAAAGGGTTACGGTAGCCATTAAATCTGTAATCACCAGAGCACTTGTCCGAGAGGACTACAAAACTTTGTCTAGCTTTTCTTGCGAAAATTTTAGAAATTTCGGAAATTAATAAAAAATTCGGATAAATAGAAAGCTTTATAATTCTAAAATGCATTAAATTGAAAAGAAACGACTAATTTTAGTAGATTTCTAAGTTCTGAGGACGTTCCAGAAACTCCAGAAGACGTTAAAAGTGTTAGAATTGAAAAGAAACAAAATTTTTGACCTGGAACATGCAAAATTTTAATAATTCCTCTGAAAAAAAGCGCTTTTTACACTTTTTTCTATTAAAAAATAACCCAAATTCAAAATTCCCTCCAAAACCGGCAAACGCGCCAAGCGGGCAAGCTGACGCACTTCTCGATCACTGCCAAAAATCGTTGACGCGTTTCCGGTGTCCGAGGGATTTTGAATTTTCCACGTCATCTAGAGCTGAAATTCCGGCTGAAAATGGCATCAATCGAAATTGAATCATCAGAGTAAGTTAGAATACACATTCTACTGCAGATTTTAGGCCTGAATTTCTCAAAAATCGTCCAAAAGTACCGATTTTCAGCGTAATTCGACTCATCGAACAATTCCTCAAGGAATCCAATTTGCACCGCACTTTGGCTGTTTTACAGGTTATTAAAAAATAAAAAATAAAAAAAATAGCGATTTTCAGGAAGAAACCAATGTTTCACTGAACACAGTCGACTCAATTGATGGGTTTTGTAATGAAATTACGTCCGGAAATTGGGATAATGTGCTGAAAACTGTGCAATCGCTTAAATTGCCAGCTAAGAAGCTCATTGATTTGTATGAACATGTGAGTATTAGATTTAAGGGAAAAAAAGTTAAATTCAACAAAAAAAAATTTTTGGGAAATTTTTTTTCCCAAAAATCCATTTTCGTACCCTTTTTTTCTGTTTTTTGGGCGGAAAATTGCAGGTTTTATGCGTAAAACGCTCTAAAATCCTTAGTTTCAGTATTTAATCAGTATTTTCAGCTTAATTTTCGACATTATCAAAATTAGAATGAAAAAAATCAATTTTTTGAAAAATTTCCAAATTTTCAGAATTAAAAAAATCCTCAAATAACTAATTTTAGGTTAAAAACCCCAAATATCGCAATTAAAAAACAGAATTTTGGTCGAAATTTTGACCTAAAAATGATCTTAGTGATTTTTAAAACAAAATGCCTAAATTTAGAGCTAAAAATCCGATTTTCAGGTAATTATCGAGCTTGTGGAAATGCGAGAACTCGCGACCGCCCGTCTGGTCGCCCGCCAAACCGATCCAATGATTCTCCTGAAACAAATCGATCCAGACAGATACTCCCGACTGGAATCCCTCATCAATCGACCGTATTTCGATAGTCAAGAGGTCTACGGAGACATTTCCAGGGATAAACGAAGGAATGTGATTGCTCAGACGATCTCATCTGAAGTCCATGTGGTTGCTCCGTCCAGATTGCTCAGCTTATTGGGACAGAGTCTGAAATGGCAGTTGCATCAGGGTCTATTGCCACCTGGAACTGCTATCGACTTGTTCAGAGGGAAGGCGGCGTTGAAAGAGCAGATTGAGGAGAGATATCCGACCATGATGGCCAGAAGTATCAAATTTTCGACGAGTAAGCGTCTTTGGAAATTTTGGGGTAGAAAAATGCCAAAAAAAGGATTTTTAGGCTGAAAATGCCCTAGTTTTGAGCTAAAAACCCCCGCTTTTCTTTCAGAAAGCTATCCAGAATCGGCTGTCTTCTCACCGGATTCCAATTATCTGGTCTCAGGATCGAAGGACGGCTTCATTGAGGTCTGGAATTATATGAACGGAAAATTGAGGAAGGATTTGAAGTATCAGGTTGGTTTTTCAGGAAATTTTGATCGAAAAACCGAAAAGAAGGAAGTTATCGCCCAAAAATTGCTAATTTTCAATTAAAAACATATATAAATTCGAGAAAAAAAAAAGATTTTGAGTGTAAAACCAAAATTTTCGCCTGAAAATTTGTCAGTTTTGAGCCCAAAAAGGCCTATTTCAGTCACATTTTTCTCAGGTTTTTTTTTAGCGTCTTTTGAACGCATTTTTTGGATTTTTAGAGCGAAAAATACCCAATTTTTAGTTAATTTTTCAGTTTTCAGCGCCGTTAAACCTGATTTTTCTGTATTTTCCACCCAAATTTCCCATATTTTCAGGCCCATTTTTAACCCGAATCATATCAATTTCGAACACTAAAAATTGGAAAATTTTGAGACGAATTGCAATTTTAAAAGCGAATTTTTCTTCGATTTTTGGCAAAATTTTGCAGAGGAGGAATTCGAAAAATGGGGTAGAAATCGAAAAAAAAATAGCAGAAGTCCATCAATTTTGAGCTAAAATTTGGTCGAAAACGAATGAAAATGAGCTCAGATACAGCGTTTTTTTGAAATTTACTGAGGCTTACGAAGTTTTGTAGTTTGTAGTCTTGAAAAACGCAATTTTTAAAACACTAAAAATTGGAAAATTTCGAGAGCAGAATTTCGGCAAAATTTTAAAGAATTTTTCCAAAAATGAAATTCGATAAACGATGTTTTGGATTACTGTAGGTTCCTGTAGAAGCTGAATTCCTTTTGTAGTTTGTAGTTTTTATTGCCTGAAAAATCACGTGGATAAAACAAAACAAAAAACCAACAAAAAAAGGAATTCATACAGTAATCTACAGTAATCTTTGCGAACCATGTCCCATCAAAATTTCAGACAAAAAAATTCGGAAAAGTCGAAAAAGAATCTTCAAAAATTGCTGAAACCCCGAAAAAGGTCTAAAAATTTATATTCTTGAAATTTTCCAATTTTTAGTGTTTTAAAAATTGCGTTTTTCAAGACTACAAACTACAAAACTTCCTAAGCTTCAGTAAATTTTAACAACGCTGTATGATACAGCCTGTATCTGAGTGATAATTTTTAGCCTGAATCGGGTTTTTGGTCATTTTGAACCCCAAAAAACGACGATTTTTAGCTCATTTTTACCTCATTTAAGCTATTTTTCACTGAAAAATTTGAATTTTCAGCTCCAAATTGGTCATTTTGTACCCCAAAAATGCCGAATTTTGGTCAAATTTTCCAGCTTTTCAACTCGTTTTTCCACCCAAATTTCCCCTATATTTGCAGGCCCAGGACAATCTAATGATGATGGACGCGGCGGTGAGATGTATGTCATTCAGCCGAGACTCTGAAATGCTGGCCACTGGATCAATCGATGGGAAAATCAAAGTTTGGAAGATCGAAACGGGCGATTGCCTTCGAAAATTCGATAGAGCCCATACGAATGGTGTGTGTGCTGTGAGATTCTCAAAGGATAATACGCATGTGTTGTCGGGGGGAAATGATCATGTTGTTAGGTTGGTTTTGTTGTTCAAATTGCGCGGATTTCATGGAAAATGAGCCAAAATCCGAAGAAATCGGCTAAAAATGAGGCAAAAATCATGAAAATCATACTAAAAATCATTTAAAATTGCCTAGAAATTTATGAATTAATGGAGCCCTAAATCTCGAAAATCATTTTGAGAATGTTTTCATATCACTAAAAATTATGAAAATTTGGCTTGAAATTGCCTAGTTTTGAGCTAAAAACCGAAAATTATAAAACGAATTGGACGGATAATCGCTAAATTTCATGAAAAATGAGCCGAAAATCGTAGAAAATCATGGAAAAAGGCCTGAAATCACGTGTTTTGGAGCTGAAAATCATAAAAATTTGCCCCGAAAATAATCAAAAAATGGCTCAAAATCTAGCTAGAAATCGCTTTTGATATAGTTTGTTTTTTAGTTTGTAGTCACTGAAACTCTCGAAATTTCTAGCCAAACATGACTTTTCTAGCTCTAAAATAGCCGAGTTGTCGATTATGTCATCGAAAATGAGGCAAAAACGGCTGAAAATGAGGCCAATTTAGCTGAAAATCATGAAAATTTGGCTTAAAATTAATTTCTAGCCAAAAAACGACTTTTATAGCTTCAAAACTAGCCTAATTGGACGCCATTTTCAATTTTTACTGAAGCTTATGAAGTTTTGTAGTTTGTAGTTTATAAGCCTCAGTAAAAAAAAATCGAGTTGCTGTAACTCGGTTAATGTTTTCCACATATCAAGGGTTTTTGGCTGAAAATGCTGGAAATTTTCTTGTAGCTCCTTCTAGTTTTAGTTTTTACTGAGGCTTAGCAATTGTTTGTAGTTTGTAGTCTCTTCAATTTCATATTTCAGAGTGCATGGAATGAAGAGTGGAAAGTGTCTGAAAGAGATGCGCGGTCACTCGAGCTACATCACCGACGTCCGGTATTCAGATGAGGGTAATCATATTGTAAGTTGGATTCTCATTTTTGTAGTTTGCAGTCTTTGTAGTCACTGAAAAACTACTTTAAAAAAGGCGGAGTTCTGGGCGATTTTTTGGCTGAAAATTCATTTTTCCAGCTAAAAAGGGGCCAGCTAACTGCAAAAAATTACTTTTTATAAATCTTTTTTTTTCGGAAATCCCCCAGATATGTTTTGTAGTTTGTAGTTTTATGGGTTTTTTTTTGCAAAAATCCAATCCAATTTTCCGTTTTGTTTACACAGGAATCGCTCTTTTTTGCACTTTTCCGATGGATTTTTGTGCTTATACTGCTGCTCGTTAGCTCATTTTGCACAGAGAAAAACGTGGTTTTTTGATTACTGAGGCTTAGAAGGATTCTTGTAGTTTGTAGTCTTGAAAAAACTAGATTTTGGAGGCTAAAAATTGATTTTTTTTTCGCGAAATTTTTGGACATTTTCAGGTTTTTCAGCTATTTTCGAGAATTCTTTTTTGATTTTTTCGGTTTTAATCGTCTGAAATTTAATGGAACGGGGTTTTGGATTACTGTAGACATAATTTTGACGACGCATCCCATCAATTTTTAGTCTTAAAAGTGTTAAAAGCTCGATTTTCCGCAGAGTTTTTGAGAAAATTGAGCATTTCTAATCGAATTTTCGAAATTTTCTGATTTGAGAATAGTGGTCTTGAGACCCAATTTTGCCATTTTCATTACCTTAGAAATCCTGGGAAGTTTTCTACAATTCTAGATTACTGTAGTTTTCAAAATTATCAACAAAAATCCACATCAGTTTTGAGCTAAAATTTGGTCGAAAACGAATGAAAATGAGCTAAGATACAGCGTTTTCAAAATTTACTGAGGCTTAGAAGGGGTTTTTGTAGTTTGTAGTCTTGAAAAAACTAGATTTTGAAGGCAAAAAATTGATTTTGTCCTCGATTTTATGAAAAATTTTAGACCTTTCTAGGTTTTTCAGCTATTTTCAAAGATTCTTTTTCGATTTTTTGGTTTCAATTGTCTGAAATTCTATGGGACGGTGTTTTGGAATACTGTAGGTTTTTCTAGCTTTTTTTTTGCAAAAATAACCACGTCAGAAAAAGAACTACAAAGAAATTTAGCTTCTACAGTAATCTACAGTAATCTTTGCGAACCATGTTCCATCAAATTTGGGACAAGAAGAAATCGGAAAAATCGAAAAACAATCTGAAAAAAATAGCTGAAAAACCTGAAAATGTCCAAAAATTTTGCGTAAAATTGAGGAAAAAATCAATTTTTAGCCTTCAAAATCTAGTTTTATTCAAGACTACAAACTACAAAACTTCCTAAGCCTCAGTAAATTTCAAAAAAACGCTGTATCTGAGCTCATTTTCATTCGTTTTCGACCAAATTTTAGCTCAAAATTGATGTGGATTTTTGTTGATAATTTTGAAAACTACAGTAATCTAGAATTGTAGAAAACTTCCCAGGATTTCTAAGGTAATGAAAATGGCAAAATTAGGTCTCAAGACCACTATTCTCAAATCAAAAAATTTCGAAAATTCGACTAGAAATGCTCAATTTTCTCAAAAACTCTGCGGAAAATCGAGCTTTTAACACTTTTAAGACTAAAAATTGATGGGATGCGTCGTCAAAATTATGTCTACAGTAATCCAAAACCCCGTTCCATTAAATTTCAGACGATTAAAACCGAAAAAATCAAAAAAGAATGCTCGAAAATAGCTGAAAAACCTGAAAATGTCCAAAAATTTCGCGAAAAATTGAGGAAAAAATCAACTTTTAGCCTTCAAAATCTAGTTTTATTCAAGACTACAAACTACAAGAATCCTTCTAAGCCTCAGTAACCCAATGAATAAATTGCCAATTTTCAATAATTTTTAGTTCGATTTTTTGAATTTTTTCCCCCAATTTTTATCAACTTTTGACTATTGTTTTGCCATTTTTTAAAACAATTTTCAGACGATTTTTACCTTTTAAAAACCCTTAAAACCCCTCTTTTCCAGATCTCGTGCTCAACAGATGGCTCAATTCGCGTTTGGCATGGAAAAACTGGTGAATGTCTATCGACATTCCGTGTTGGAACCGAGGATTATCCCATTCTGAACGTTCTACCCATTCCAAAAAGCGACCCACCCCAAATGGTGGTCTGTAATCGCTCGAATACGCTTTATGTCGTCAATATCTCGGGACAAGTGGGTCTTTTGGAGCATTTTTAGTTTGAAAATTTGGATTTTTGAGCCCCAATTATCCCAGAAATGGCTATTTTTAGGCTTCTTTAACTCAAAAATAGACATTCTTGAGTCTCAAAAATAGGCCTGAAATGACCAATTCAGCTTGAGAATTTGGATTTTTAGCCGAAAAATTGGATTTTTGACGAAAGAATTGAGTTTAAAACTCTTTTTTTTTATTCAGGTCGTCCGCACAATGACATCTGGTAAACGTGATAAGGGAGACTTTATCAGCTGCATTCTATCGCCAAAAGGTAGGTGAAAAATGGCCTTATTTTCAGAGAATTTGAGCTAAGAACGCTGAAATTCTGGAAATTTGCGTCAAAAAAAGATGAAAATATGTAAATTTTGAGCGCTGAAAAATACGACTTTCAGGTTTTTTTATTCTCGAAATTCTGGGGATTTTGAACTAAAAGGGCTCTGAAAATCTGGAAAAATGAGCTTAAAAACTGAAAATCGGAACAATTTCAGATGGAAATTCACGAGTTTTGGCTTAAAATGGTTATTTCTTGATTTGTTCAACAAGTTTCTGAAAATCTGACGATTACGCTGAAATTTTCAAAAAATGCTTATTTTCCAGGAGAATGGGCATATGAAAATTTGGCTTGAAATTGCCTAGTTTTGAGCTAAAAACCGAAAATTATAAAACGAATTGGATGGATAATCGCTATATTTCATGAAAAAATGAGCCGAAAATCGTAGAAAATCATGGAAAAAGGCCTGAAATCACGTGTTTTGGAGCTGAAAATCATAAAAATTTGGCTTAAAATTAATTTCTAGCCAAAAATGACTTTTCTAGCTTCAAAACTTGCCTAATTGGACGCCATTTTCAATTTTCACTGAGGCTTATGAAGTTTTGTAGTTTGTAGTTTATAAGCCTCAGTAAAAAAAATCGAGATTTTTGAGCTAAAAAATACGACTTTCAGGTTTTTTTTATTCTCGAAATTCTGGGGATTTTGAACTAAAAAGGCTCTGAAAATCTGGAAAAATGAGCTTAAAAACTGGAAATCGGAACAATTCCAGATGGAAATATACGAGTTTTGGCTTAAAATGGTTATTTCTTGACTTGTTCAACAAGTTTTTGAAAATCTGAAGATGACGCTGAAATTTTCAAAAAATGCTCATTTTCCAGGAGAATGGGCATACGCAATTGCCGAGGACGGTGTCATGTACTGCTTCATGGTTCTTTCGGCATCACTGGAGACGACGCTTCCCGTGAGTTTTTTGGAATTCTAGATTCTGAATTCAAAATGGCTGGAAGAGGTTCAAAAATTGAAGAAAAAAAATACGTCGAAATTCGAGAAAGGCTGTGGAAAAATTGCTGAAAATTTTGCTGAAAAAACTTTGAAAATCAGTGTAAAAAAGGCTGAGAAACGACGGGTGAAAATAGTTGAAAAATTGAAAAATGGCTGTAAAACGTGTAATAGGGTGGCCGAGAAATTCTAAATTATTTCTAATTTTCTAGGCCACAGTTTTTTAGATCGGAGGTCTTAAATTATTTCTAGGAGGCACTAAAAAGGGGGAAAATGATAAGAAATTGTGCGTAGAAATTAGGGGGGGGGGGGTGATAAGAAGATGGCTGACTAGCCCGAATACTGTTTGAGAGACCGAAAACAGAAAGGCACACACACACTGTCAAGTTTGAGCCAATTTATCTCGATTCAAATGAAAGATATCAAAAAGTGGTCAACTGATAAAATGTTTGTGATTATTTGATGAACAATTTATCAGTTGACAACTTTTCGATATCTTTAACAGGAATGGAGATAAATTGGCTCAAATTTTAAAAAGTTAGGCAGGGGTCAGAGATGAGCGGAAGACGGTTTATTTTCAAAGTGAAAAATGCTACCGAAAAGTTGTGAACTGACAAAATGTAGATATCAATGAGAGACGTTTATTGGTATAAAAGTTGCCTTATAATATTGATGGGGGAGTTGCGATATGGCGTTTCTTCCGTGTTCCGTCTTCCGTCTGGCACACGGAAGACGGAAGAAAGACTCTATTTAGATAATCCAACAAAATTTCGAAACAATTCTTATACCAATCGATAGCTCTCATTGAGATCTACAATTTGTCCGTTGACAGCTTTTTGGTAGCTTTTTTCATTTCTAAGATAAACCGTCTTCCGTAAATCTCTTCTTCCGCTAATCTCTGGTAGGGGGTATTCGGATGTTTTGCTTCCCTTTGCCACATTTTTTTCTCATTTTTCTTTCATGATATATGATGCCAAGATTGTATCTAGCCAATTTGGGAAGAACAGTGTCTCTGTGTGCCCCTCGTCTTATTCGGATACCCTTTCCTACACCTCCACCTTCTCTTCGCATTCATTCTACCCGAAAAGATGAAATTTCGAAGATTAGGAATTGTTTCAGGACATCCTTTTCCCCCTTTTCCTGCCCCTCGTGTTCTATTTTTTGCCTATTTTCTGAGGCAAATACTCAGTTGCTACAAGATCAGTTGCTTCCTGACCAGTTGCTACTTTTGTCTCAGTTGCTATTTTCCCAGTTGCTATGACTCAGTTGCTACTTTTGGCTCAATTGCTCGCATTATCCGAAATTTCAAAATCTCAGTTGCTACAAAAAACACTTAGTTGCTACAATTGACTCAATTGCTACTTTTTTCTAAAATACTACTATAAAAACGGCAATTTTTTCCACTGTCTTTTTAAGACTACTTTTTCTCGGACACTATCGAGTTTTTATTTTTAAAAGTTCTCCTTATTATGACCCATAGTCCGGGGCCGATCAAAATAGAGAAAAGTTTGCCCCCCCCCCACTAAGAAAACCACTAAGAAAAGGAGTAGAATACTAAATGGAATCGCATGACGTCTTCTAATTTTCAGCCAAAATTGCTGAAAACAGTAAATAAAAATTTGTGTAGTTTGTAGTCACTGAAATTTTCCCGACATTTCTAGCCAAAAATGGCTTCTTTTCTAGCTCTAAAAATAGCCGAGTTACAGCGATTTTCAATTTTTCACTGAGGCTAACAACAAAATGTTGTAGTTTGTAGTCTCTAAGCCTCAGTAAATCTTCTTTTTGATGAATTTTGGTTCCAAAATTGATGAATTTTTTTTGTTGTTGAAAAATTTCAATTTTCACTGAGGCTTACGAAATTTTGTAGTTTGTAGTCTACAAATTCCTTCTATTTTCTTTTTTTCCCCCTCATTTCCACCCCAAAAACACCAAAAAAAAACACACACACACACTAAGAAAAGGAGTAGAATACTAAATGAAATCGCATGACGTCTTCTTTTTTTTCCATGCTTCCCAGACCCTTGACGACGACCTTTTTGCCCCCTTTATGTGCTAAAATAGTTATTTTAGAAAATTTTCTCCTGAAAATCTCGAAATTTTGCTTTTCAAAGTGGGGGGGGGGGCGACGTGAAAAAAATAATGTTCTCGAAATTCCGTTCAAAGATGCCCCTCGAGGAGTTGAACTTGTGAGGGCGATGATTGAGGGTGCGGCGCCGCTACCGACTGAGCCACGCGGGCAAAGAGAAAGCGCACGCCCGATTGCATACATAAAGGCGAGGACGACAGCTGTACGCAGAGTGACATTAAGCGTTGTACACCGTTACGGTAGAATGCATACTCTAGCTACAAAAAAACTACGATAAATCTACTGTCCCCCCACCTTTAAAAACTCTAAATTCCGTTCTACAAAAATTGCTGAAAAATGCCGAAAAATGCATGAATTTTGAGCCAAAATTCGTCAAAAACGGATGAAAATGAGCCCAGATACAGCGATTTGTAGTTTTACTGAGGCTAAGAGACTACAAACTACAAAAATTCGTAAGCCTCAGTAAAAGCTTTTTTCTTTCAAAAAAGAAGGAAAATGTTTACTGAGGCTAAGAGATTTTTTGTAGTTTGTAGTCTGTAAGAACCAGTTAAAATTTTTGAAGTTTTACTGAGGCTTAGGAGGCTACAAACTACAAAAAAATTACTACAAACTACGAAAAATCCCAGCATTGAAAACATATGAAAATGAGCCGAGTTACAGCGATTTGAAGGTTTTACTGAGACTTAGCAACTACAAACTACAACGCTTTTCTAAGTCTCAGTAAATACATAAAATATGCCATTTTGCGTTTACTGAGGCTTAGGAATTTTCGTAGTTTGTAGTCTATAAGCCTCAGTAAACGTAGAATCAGTAAAATCAGTAAAAATCCATAAATTTTGAATAAAAATTAATCAAATATGGTTGAAAATGAGTTCAGATGGAGCGTTTTCAAATTTTACTGAAGCTTAGAAACTACAAACTACATAATTTGCTAAGCCTCAGTAAAAAAATTTTTTCTCAATTTTCTGTAATTTTTGCCTAATTTTCCCCGATTTTTCAGGTAACCGAACGTCTTCCAATCGGTCTGGTCCACCATCCCCATCAGAATCTCATCGCCACGTATGCAGAGGATGGTCTTTTGAAATTGTGGACCGATTAGGCTCCGCCCTTTTTTTTCATTGATCTACTTTTTTTTTGGCAATTTTTGACCATTTTTTATATGAAAAATTCACATTTTTTCCTACTTTTTGTTCCACGAGATCTCTATTTTTCATTAATTTATTTTTAAAAATTTAAGAATTTTTCAAATTTCCCGCCTTTTTTGAATTTTGAAAATCTTTCGAAAATGCAATAAATTTAACCCATTTCCTCTAAAAAATCCCCTATTTTTCGTCGTGTCCTGGTTTTTATCCTCTTTTCATTCTTTTGTTACCCACTTTTTGTAGTTTGTAGTGTAGTCGAGACTACAAACTACATTTTTTCGATTTTTTCAGAAGAACTAGAGACAACAAGACACGGGTTGTAGGCATTGCAAGTCAATAATTGCCGCTGAAACCTGCATTCGTTTTTCTGGTAAGTTAACTACAAACTACAGAGACTACAAACTACAAAAAATATGGAACTTCCTCGAGTCATGGGAAACTGAGTTGAGATGTTTAAAAAAAATGGAAATTCCGAAAATTCGGGAATTTCCAAAAAATTCAAAAATCGAGTTTTCGAAAATTCGAGAAATTGAAATTTTTGGAATTTCTGAAATTCCAGAAAATTCCACAAAATTTTGAAAGTCGAATTTTGGTAATTCCAATAATTATTAAATTAGAACATTGAGAATTTCTGAAATTCAGAATTACATTGGTATTCTAGAATTCTGACCTAAAAATGAGCAATTTTGACCTGAATATGAGCAATTTTGATCTAAAAATGAGCAATTTTGGCTTAGAAAAGATCAATTTTGACCAAAAAATGGGCAATTTTTTCTTTAAAATGATCAATTTTGACCCAAAAATAGGCAATTTTCACCTGAAAATAAGCAGTTTCGACCCAAAAATGATCAATTTCGACCCAAAAATTATCTATTTTGACCCAAAAATGAGCAATTTCGACACGAAAATAGGCAATTTCGGCCTAAAAATAGGCATTTTTCACCTAAAAATGGGCAATTTTTTCCTAAAAATGATCAATTTTGGCCCAAAAATAGGCAATTTCGACCTAAAAATGATCAATTTCGACCTAAAAATGAGCGATTTCGACTTAAAAATGAGCAATTTCGACCTGAAAATGAGCAATTTCGACCTGAAAATGAGCAATTTTTTACTCAAAAAAATACTCAAAAAAAAAAATTAGGAAATATCTGAAATTTGAAAAAAAAATTCACTTTTTTCAAATTGGACAAAAAAGGAATCAAGTCTAAATTTGGATTATATTAATAACGATTTTTTGGCAAGAAACATTTTTCAAAAAAAGACCAAAAAACTCGATTTTCCTCCTATTTCAGCTTTCAGTTTTCTTTCTTTTTAGCTTTTTCCTCTTTTTTGTTGCTACCATTTCTCGAATTTCCTCATTTTCTGTTTCCTGGTTTTTTCTTCTTTTCACCACACCCTCTTTTTAATTAATTGCATGCGGCCGCGGCCGGCCGCAGGTGTTATAGGACACCCCCCATTGGCACTCTCGCTCCGAACTGAAACAAGAAGAGAAGCCATCAAAATTTTGGTTCCTTTTTTTTTGAACGAATTCGGACCCAAAAATAGGCAATTTTCACCTGAAAATGAGCAATTTTGACCCAAAAATGATCAATTTCGCACTAAAAATGATCAATTTTGACTCAAAAATAGGCAATTTTCATCTGAAAAAATGAACAATTTCGAACTAAAATTGAGCAATTTCGACCTGAAAATGAGCAATTTTTACTCAAAAATGAGCAATTTCGACCTGAAAATAAGCAATTTTGACTCAAAAATGAGCAATTTCGACCTAAAAATGAGCAATTTCGACCTGAAAATGAGCAATTTTTTACTCAAAAATGAGCAATTTCGACCTGAAAATGAGCAATTTTTTACTCAAAAATGAGCAATTTCGACCTAAAAATGAGCAATTTCGACCTGAAAATGAGCAATTTTTTACTCAAAAATGAGCAATTTCGACCTGAAAATGAGCAATTTTTTACTCAAAAATGAGCAATTTCGACCTGAAAATAAGCAATTTTGACTCAAAAATGAGCAATTTCGACCTAAAAATGAGCAATTTTTTACTCAAAAATGAGCAATTTCGACCTGAAAATGAGCAATTTTTTACTCAAAAATGAGCAATTTCGACCTGAAAATAAGCAATTTTGACTCAAAAATGATCTATTTTGACCCAAAAATAGGCAATTTTCACCTGAAAATGAGCAAATTCGAGTCAATTTGCCTAGAAAAAGACATCCGGACAACTGGAAATTGCACACTTTTCGGGTCCTAAATTACCTGTTTTGTGTCTATATAGCGCCTTTTTGAGGAAATCCGGACATCCGGACAAACAGAAATAGCACTTTTTAGGACCTAAAATATCTATTTTAGGCCATTGTTTTTTTTTCAAACATCCGGACATCCGGACAAACAGAAGGGCACTCCTCTCTGACGCCATTTTGTGACACTTTTTATGCTCTTTTTTTTTTGCTTTTCAAATACCTTTGAAACTCTCGAAAATCGACAATTTCCGTCCATTTTTGAGGTAGGCAGACACACACACACACAAAAGGGTATTGGGTTTTGCATTTCGAATTTCTTCCTAAGCTCCGCCCCCTTTTCCCCCCTCTCTTTTTTTTTGTTCTTTTTGGCTACTAACCACCACTCCTTTTACCTTTTTGGGGATGCTCACTGAGCACATTTATAAGGTATTTCATGTGGAAAAGGGCATTTTTGAGCTCTTTTTATTATCAAGATGGCTCCAACTAGCGAACTTCTAGAAAATCGATTTTGAAAATTCATATAAAACTCTCTGGAATGTTCCAAGGGGCACAGTATACAGTACTCAGTTGTCTTCAAATTAGTAGATTACGGTAGTCAAACTCCGAATTCTTAAGTTTTAAATGAATCAGAAGACGTTGTAAGCAGACACGTTGCCATAGAAACCAAGTACAAAAATCCGCCTTGTTGGATCGAGCGCAACGAGATTTATTGAACAAAAATGCGTCTAGAACTTTCTAAAATTCTCGAATCTTGAATCTAACCTCACTAGGCACATTATATAGTACTCATTTTTCTTCAATTTAGTAGATTACGGTATTTTCGACTAGGCAGATGACAATTCCAAAAATCAAAAGTTCTAGAGTTTGCGTAGTAGTCAGAAACACCGTAATCTACTGAAAATTAGTACTGTATAATGTGCCTAGTAGAAAGTTCTAGACGCATTTTTGTTCAATAAATCTCGTTGCGCTTGATCCAACAAGGCGGATTTTTGGTACTTGGTTTCTATGGCAACGTGTCTGCTTACAACGTCTTCTGATTCGTTTAAAATTTGAGAATTCGGAGTTTGACTACCGTAATCTACTAATTTGAAGACAACTAAGTACTGTATACTGTGCCCCTTGGAACATTCCAGAGAGTTTTATATGAATTTTCAAAATCAATTTTCTAGAAGTTCGCTAGTTGGAGCCATCTTGATAATAAAAAGAGCTCAAAAATGTCCTTTTCCACATGAAATACCTTGTAAATGTGCCTCAAAACGAAAATGAATAATTTTCCCTTGTTTTTTTTTTGATTTTTGGATCGAAATGTTCCTTGTCTACCCCAAAATGACGTATTCTTTGCTCTTTTTGTCTGTGTGACTAGAGAAAGAAGTGAGGTCTATGGCTCAAATTTGTACCTTTTTCATGTTTTTCGAGCTTACTGAATGGGCATTTAGTTTGGTAACTCCCGTTTCTTGGAGCTAATGACACGTATTTTTTTTTCAAAAATTTTAGTTCATTTTGATAATGTTAGCTTAAAATCCGTTTATTTTATAATTGGGCACCTGCTGCTAAGCCTCAAGACCAAACGTTTGAGGACCAGGCTGGACTATCAGAACTCAAGATTTTTGAATGTTAAGAGCACTTCAAACGGCTTCTATTGATGTTTGACCCCTATTATTCAAAATGAAGTGAAAAACAACAGTGGACCTCATTTGCATATATATTTCATTTTCCCGTATTGCCACTGTTCATTTTTTTTTGCCATTTTCCATAGAACCGGCTGAAAAAATGTAGTTTGATCAGTGCGACTGTAATCCCTCAAATAAAAGCTCAATTATCTCAATTTCTATAGGCGATATCAAAAATGTGTCAACTGATAAAGTGTTTGTGATATTATGATAAACATTTTATCAGTTGACAACTTTTTTATATCTTTAACAGGAGCTGAGATTAATTGTCTAAAAGTTCAAAGTTAGGGGGGCCCTTCTATTACAGGTTTAGAGTATCGAAAAATGTGATTTTTAGAGGTAGGATATATTCTCAAAAATCGCTCCAATTTTTTGGATTTTCAGGAACAGTTTCAATTAAAAACGGAGGGTTTTTGACCACCAAAAACGTTTGGATCAGTTTTTGGCTTTAAATTTTTCAACTTTATCGTTTTAGGGTCAATTTCGTTGTGTTTCTCAAAGAAAACATCTTCCTTAAACCCTAAAATTGCCATATTTCCACTTTGAGCTCAATTATCTCAATTTCTATAGGCGATATCAAAAATGTGTCAACTGATAAAGTGTTTGTGATATTATGATAAACATTTTATCAGTTGACACATTTTTGATAACGCCTACAGAAATCAAGATAATTGAGCTCAAAGTGGACGGTTTTGGATAGGCTTCTGTTAGAGGGATTACGGTAGACGAAGAAGTTCGATTTTGGACCGTAACGTTTTGCTATAATTGTCCTAGGGAACTGAAAATTGGATCAAAACGATGTGCAAAATGTGAGAAGTGGTTTGTAATAGGAACCTTAGTTTCAGTCCACTTCTAACGATTCTGAAATTGGGCTGAATTTAAGATTTACATATCATTTTGGTACAATTTTCAGTTCTCTATGTCAATTATAGCAAAAGTTATGGTCAAAAATCGCGCGCGCTTTACCTTCTATTAGAGGGTTTACGGTATTTTCAATCAGTGCTATTCCAGAGGCTGGAAGCACCTGCAGTATCAGTCCCTAGA